CAGCATCCTGACTCTTGGCCTTCTGCTAATCTCCTTATTACACTCAAGATAGCTGAGTTTCAACAGCTCATATGGTTTTCACAGAATGAATGCCTTTAGGAATAGGAAACATTTTCAATATTATCTGCTTCCCATAGAGGGAGATTGAAAAGTCATTTCTCATATTGGATAAGAACTTGAAGGGGGATAGCTTGGTATATACTAATTCAAAACAGCAGACAGCAAATAAAGAATTATGCCTAAATCTGATACCAGTTAAACCTATAGAAATAAGAGCCAGTGTAGTGAAGTCAATGGAATTAGAGAGCTAGGATCAGCCAGGAACCTCAACACAGTCTAGCATCTACTCTAAGTCAGTTAATGGAAAATTAATCTTATTTTTACAGGTTGCTGAAAACCATGCCGTGTCTCAGAAACATCTGTTTCACCAATGAGAACAAATGAGGGGAACAGGGTAGAATGTAAGAGAGAGGGATCTGAAAGAGCTAAAAAGGAAATGCAGAGCAAGGAGTGTACCACTGTCTCAGGCAAGTGGGAATGACCAGACCAGTGATCACGTTTTTATCATAAATTGGAGGCAACATGGAATAACTGCTTCCTGAGGTGGGAGAACTTGCTGAGGTAAAGATTTCTTAACACCTGAAAATGGTGTCCACACTGCATATCTTCCAAGTATTTCACATGATCAGTTGTCAAAGAAGTTGTGGGCGATTCCTCCCTGGAAGTGCTCAAGGTCAGGCTGGCTGGGGCTTTGAGCAATCTGGTCCAGTGGGAGGTGTCCCTGCCCATGGCAGGGGGCTTGGAACTAGATGATCTCTAAAGTCCCTGGCAAACCAAACCATTCCATGATCTATGAAAACAACAATACTACTAGATCTGAGCAACACATCCAGATTTTAACATTATACCACACTAGTATATGTCCAAATGCCACCATGTCATGACACAGTTCACAAACAATATATTCCCAGACACTACATATTTCTTATAGCGCAACCACATGGCTAAATTTGTGAATGTAACCATGTTTTTAAAATATTTGCAATAAGAATGGTGCCCGAATAAAGAAAAAAAAAATAAAATAAACGCTTACAATTAGACCCAACATAAACAAAGAAAATACACTTTACTTTTCTGGTTATTTTCATAGGGAGAACTTTATCACTCCCATTGCCTCAATAGAAATCCAAATTAAGCAGCTCATTTGTTTAAATTAGCCAGAGAAATAGATACAGAGAAGCAAATGCTACTCTCACTGAAGTCAGTGTTGTGAGATCTGGGCTATGGTGCATATCTGATGGCACAGCAAGATCCAGATTAATATGTTAACAGTACTGCAGCTTTAAAACGTATGCTTCAAGTGTCAGCAAAACCTCAGTGTTGAAATCTGTGCTGCAGGCTTTCTGAGGAAGAATTAAATGGAGTAAGGAAGTTGCTAGAAGCTTTTTCACCTCAAAATAGGTGCAAATATAAAAAACAAAGAAATATTTTAGTTCTAGGCATGGTTTTCCTTTCTTAGAACAAACCCATCCCTATATTTTGGCTACTGTATGCATTGCAGCATCCATACCCAGGGTACTAGTTTTCAATATGGACATCATGTGAGATAGTCCAGTGAAGAGTAAACCACATACTTTTCATGGGGGAGACACATTCCTTGTAATAAAAAAGTATAGAAATTCTATTTTTCATGTTGTATTTTTTTAATATTGCCAATTAGAAAGACTCCAAATGCCTGGAATGAATTTAGAAATGGAAACTTGAGTCTCCAGTTCTGTTATTAATGTAATAAAATTAAAAGTTTTAAAATTAAAACCTGTACGTACAAAACTCAGGATCATATTCTACTGCTTTGCATGCAGTAAGAAATTTCTTTTACGTGCTCTCCAAAACTGAGATAAAATTTCAAGTTGACGCCTTCATACTGGAGAACAGAATATCCTCAGTGTCCTACAATAAAACTACCTTTATTAGATCCCAGGCAAGATTTCTCCAGTGTACATTATTTGTTCGTGATTTATTATCATATCCAAATCTCATTTTACTTTGCTTAATCACTCATGCCCTAATGTTCTCCCCTCAATCTATTGCCTACAGGGATGCTGTGAGGTGCAGCAGATTGGTGATTTGAAGATTTCTTAAACTGAAAAGAAAGACTAGCTACATATAAACAGCTGTGTATCACCAGAGTAGCAAAAACTACAGCACAGAGGGCCAAGACTTAACTTCATTTTGTTTCACCAGCAACTACTTTGCGTATGGAGAGAAACAGCATTTGCATTGGTTGAAGAAATTATATAATTTTATTTTTCTGCTCCTGTGTGTGACAAAAGCTTGAACAGAAATTTTATCAGTGCTGAAGTGGTCTTTCCAAAACTAATGGCTTTGTGTCAGGTTTCTGGAGTATTCTGAGCTCATTTTTTAAACTAATTTCTATTACTTTATTACTTTTAAAGTGTTTTCCTTAAAAAACTCCCGAACAAACAACAACAAGCAACCCTTCCAAACAAATCCCCAAAGCCATAAAATCTTTAACTTAGTGCTAAAGGGAACTTTCGAAATGACCATTCTGACAGATAGAGAGATAATATCTATAGGAGCTTTGCAGTGTAACTTTCATTATGCATTTATAGAATTCAAATATTTTAGAGACTATTCATGAAGCTGGTAGAACAGTTTTCAAGACAAAAATGCAAAAACACTCTTTTGAAAAAAAAAAAAGCTGTAAGCTCAACAATGAAGTCCTTTTGCCAGGCAGGAGGCTAGAGTCTAAGAGTCTACACCACTAAGAAGTGCATTGGCCCCATCCAACACGGAGGTGCATTGTCTGAAGCTGTTCAGGGAAGGTCACCGAGGCTCACCTTGAGACAAGCCAGTGGTGAGAAGCTGATAAGAGACAGTACCTGCCCAGGAAGCCTGCTAGAAAATGATCAGTGCATGATAACAGAGATACAACACTCTTCCCTGAGATGTAAACAGGACTTCTGTGAAATGGCTCTGTTCTGGATAAACTGGTATTTATTCTAATGAGGTTGTCGGTACATTTGCTTACCACTGCCATTGCCCAAGAGAGGACAAAACTGAGGGGTGGAAGTTGATGTTTTCAGAGCAATAAGTGCCAGGAGCCCCAAGGGATGTGAGGAGAATTTCCTGAACATGGCCTCATCTCAGGGAAAGGGAGAGGGACAGGCTGCGTAGGGAGCCGTGCCAGCAGCCCCACCTGGGGAGCAGGGATGCAGCCCAGCCTCACCATTGGGACTGCAATGAAAGCTTTCAAATCAGCTATCACTGGCGGCCTACATAGGCTGACAATGTGCGCTCGTAGCAACTTCCTGCCAGAGACTCTTCTTTTTTAATATTACTATTATTATTATTATCTGGATTTGTTCTGTTAGCAGTATTTGGCCAATTTGTGCACAGTGGGCTTTCTTTGTATATTCTCCCCTACAGCTGCAGTCTTTTCTTTGAGAGGTTTGCACTCTGTGAGGAGTTCAGCAGCAGGTCAGAGACCTGGTTTACAAAGGGAAGGAGAAATAAACAACAAACTGAAAGAATAAAAGGACTTCACAAAGCTTTTAGTAAGCTATGGACAAACTTGAGATATGTATTTACTTCAATTTCTGGATCTTCCTGATCCAGCTTCTTCACCTCATCTGAGGTCAGGCACCTCTAACATACTTGTGATTTTCCCCTCAGAATTATCATTATTAGCTAATATTTGGACAAGAAAGAAATTAAAAGAGATAAGAATAAGGCATACTGCAGTTTGAATGCACGTCATCTTGCTTTTGATCACAAATATTTGCATCATTTCCCCCACCAAATACTTCTGTTGGAAAACTCTGTCTCACCTTTAGATACTCATTGTTTATGAAAGGAACGCATGCACATTTTTTTTCCTTTCATGGATAACTTAAATATTCCAAACTATTCATATGCTTTTTAATCATGTCTCTAGTATCTAACAGCATAAAGAAAACAGTCAGGGCTTTCCTCTTCCAGTTAATTTTATTGGTGGCCTTGTTTCATCTCCTGCTTCTAGAACACATACTAGATTTTGGTTAAAGGTAAATACAAGAAGAATTAAAAAGACAGAACACATAAAACTAGAAAGTAAAGGGAGAAAAAGGGATGCTTAATATTGATATTGCATCTGAGAAAGACAGCAAAAGAAATGCATCTCTACAGTAAAACCAGAATGACCTAACTGGGCAAATGTAGGGTATAAGTCGTTGCACTAGTGGGCAACACACCCTCAGCAGCGTACATGAACTTGGTGATTCCAGGCTCCTACACAAGTTATATTGTTTCCCAGTTCTACCATTACACATTAGTACAACTCTTAGAAATAATAATAAACCTTAAACAAAGAAAGGAAACCTTAAAATCTAAAGGTCAATCTGGAACACTCAATGAAATCAGAATGAAGGCTGGGGTGGAAATTAAACACTGCATGGAAACTGAGCATTCTAAACGCATCTCTCCACTCATAAATACCTTGTCTGCAGTGCAAAAGAGCAAAGCCTGCAAACCAGCTAAAGGAAATCTCCAATGGGAGTTTTTAACTTGAAGGCATTTCAGGGCCTATCTGTTTCAATGTATAGTAAGGAATAATCAGCGCACTTGAGGGAAAGCCTCTGTTGAAGAATTTACCTAATTTGCCAAATCAGGTTGTACTCTCTCATCTGCTCTTCTACAGTCTTTCTTGCCCTATCCTATCCAGATCTTCAATTTCCCAAACACTGAATCACTCTTAAACTCTCACGCTTTCTACTTTTCCCATTTTCTTTTCAAGTTAATCCACTCTTTCAGATTGATCTGAAATTCGCAACAAGACTATCTTCTATTTCTCTACAAACAGCATTAAATAATTGTATGAGATTAAAAAAGAAAGGAAATATTGAGTTACTTATATATGTGTTTTTATATATTTACATACATATATATGGATATATACACACGTGTATATGTATACGCATCTGATGGGAGGAAGAACTTACCTATGTCCCAGGTAAGGGGGTTATTCTGTTCCATCTCCCTTTTCCCTATGACATACCAAATGCAGGCCATCCAGTGAGCAAGCAAGGCAAACATGGACATGAGAAGCGTGAGAACAATTGTGCTGTGCTGGGAGTAACGATCCAACTTCTGAAGGAGACGCAAGAGGCGTAGCAATCTCACTGTTTTTAGGAGGTGGACAAGGGAAACCTAGTGGAACAGGGAGAGAAACCTTGTCAGCAGTTGATTTCTAACTCACAGTTCTCCTGTTTCAATGAAAGGAAACTGACTTCTAATGCTCTATGAATTTTTGCTCACTCTTCCTCACTTACACAGCTGCTTATACTCAAGATAGCAGAGAATAGCAAAGAAGGGGATTAAAATAAATATTTACTTTCACTGCATACATACATATTTACTGGTTTTGATTTAAATAAAACAAACTTGAAATATTGGGAGATCTTTCATGTTGTTGTTTGTTTTTTTTCCTGCAGTCTTCTTTCAGATTTAACTTAATAATGTGTGTTTGTGCAAAAAAGGATCCTTCCCTGCTCCAGCAGAGCAACAGAATTTTCGAACTGACCAATGTTCATTTCATTCCAATATGAAACCACAAAATAGACATCTTAAAGCTCATGATGATTTTCTGTTTCTGCTAACAGCTTAACTCAAGTATATATGTGATGAAACCAGCTTAATAACTAAGCCTGGGAGATGCAGTAACATACAGCAGAAAAAGGAAGCAAAGAAGTGAGCAGAGAGTCAGATTTGTTCTTTAGATTTAAAACTGCATTCAGGGGTCTGGTCACATTTTACTGCTCTGTATTAAACTGGAGGCCAAAAAACCTTGTACTGAAACTTGTAATACTACTTCTTTAATTCCTTACCTAAAATATTATTGTCTTTCAAGTGTGTGTGCCAAATGCAGCAGCTGATCTGCTCAGCACCCTGAGTGTACATCAGTTTATGGAGTATATGGGCTCTGGATTCAGAGGAGTGAAATAACACACAGAACGACCAGTCTCTGGATGACTCGATCCCCTCCAGAGCATCCTACAAAAAACAGCCACACCAGAGTGTACCTAGCTCCAGGTTTTATGTGGAATATACTTAACTTATGTTTCAGCTGTTGGGTAGTCAGCAAACAGTATGTAGATTAGGATACCAAATATTTTTAATCTAAATTTTTGAAGATTAAACAGGCATAATTTTCATTAACAGTAGACTTTTATTTCACCTTCCTTAACAAGACATTAGGATTAATGCTTGCTAGGTACCTGGCTGATACAGGCTACATGATCAGCTAGAAAAATAAAAACAAATTGACACATCTTCCCTCACTCTTCCCAGAACACTTAATGATCTCTCTGAAAAGAAAGCGTAAAAGCACAGCTCAACCAACAGCCATTTGCTTTTGTTAATCCAGAATAACTTGAAGATAAACCTTTCTCCTTCTGTTACGCAAAGCAAAAATCTGAAATCTTAATTTTATACATGCGCATTCACTAACAGCTAGCTTCTGATTGACTGATAAATTCTGTAGCACTAGGTATTTTAGCTTTATTCATGAAGACTTAACAAATTATTGATTTTATTCCAGTCTCATGAATTAAGTAGGTGGGAAATCTGTAAAAAAGAAAATAAAAAATCTAGGGATACTCTTTTTTTTTTTCCTACTACAATTGTGATAGTGCATAAGTAATTCTCCCATGAGTTTCCTCATGCAGTACTTACTGTCCAATATTTCTTTTTTGTTTTCCCCTCAGAAACCTTTGCATTTTTTCTCATGTACATAGCAAGGAAAAAACGTCAACAAAAATATGACACTTATTAAAATATTTTGAGGTTCACTGCTGTCGAGAATAAGATTTGACATTAGAGCACACAAAAAATTACCAGGTCTTCTCTTCTTGCCTTTCTTCTATCCATCTTATGTCATCTACAGTAAGTCAGTGAAATTAGTTAAGTCTGTGGCCTTAAGCACAAAAATATCTGCAAGTCTGGGGCAGAAGGCTGTAAAATATTTGAAGGCATTGCCATATTTTTATTAATGCAATTACACAACTATTAAAATACAATTATTCTAACTGAATGCCAAGCTACTATACCAACTGCTTCTTTTTCTGAGGGAATTAATTTCCCAAAGTCCCCTTTTCTTCTCTCTTATCAGCTTGTTTGAACCAAAAATGGTTCTGCTGCACTCTTATCATAAAGGCATCCCTATTCAGGACCGATTATTCAAGGTGCTGTAGTAATGTATGAACATATATATAATTATTGTAAATATAATAATTGTATATGTGCTATGGCCTTCACATTGGAGTCTTCATCTTTACATGGCTGCCTATGTTCTACCATATCACAACCAAATAATGATAACTTCGGTGAAATTATTTTTTATTAGGTTCTTACAAATAAGAAATTTCAAAAAGGCTGTTACAATAATAAGTGTTCCCTGCATGTTATGACTTGTGATTAAATTTGACCATTTTTATTAAGTTACAGAACACTGATAGAAATAAAAACAGTGAATCAGATATCATAATATTCTTTTTGATGTGGAGACATGTTTCATCTCAGGGCCTAAAGACTGCCTAATTTTGAAATAATTGCTGCATAAATTTGAACAGAGTTGTAATTAATCATATGTACTTGCATTGAATTTTCTCATTAGTCGTGCCAAAAACTCTTCTTGTATTGTGTCCAATCTGTCATTGGAAGACCTGAAATACCATCAGGCAGCTTTCTTTTCTGTATCACAAATTTAGAAAGACAAAATGAGGAGTCAGCACTCATACTTGTGCCTGTACAGATTTTGCTTTGCCAACAGATATAAAATCATCTGAATTTTCCATTTGGTTAATCATTTTAGACTATCTGGGTTAACCTTTTTCTGTCAAAATGACAGACACAGAATTTTATCTAACACAAACGCAGTCATAGTGTGGTGCTGAGCAACAAAGTTGCCACACACTGGGGATGCAATTCTCTGCTTGGAAGAATCCTGTCCTAAACCAAAATGGAATTAATAAGGAAACGTGATACGTTTTAAGAAATGCCCTGCAGCAGAGATCTTTAATCTTTTTTGTCTGCTTGTTTAGTTGTTTTTTCTCAAAAAACTACTCCTTCTCTCTAACCATTAGCAGCTACTCAGAGGGGAGTAAATTATAACTGGTGTTTAATAGCCTGGTTTTTACTTTGGTGGCATTTCATACTATATTTCCAGAGATTAGGGGATTCTTTACGTCAGATGAATACAAGGACGGAAGGATCTGTGATCTCAGCAGGCATTCAGTTTAGGGAGAAATGTGCTTGATGTCTCAGACCTTCAGAAAGTCCCCTACTTAATGCTAGGGCAGAATACCTGCAAGATATAAATGCAGCAGAGACAACTCATAGAGTTTTCCTTTTCTTCTTTTGAAATATCTCCAAGGATGGCAAGAAACTCCACACCTTTTTCAAGCACTGTAATTTCACAAATCTCCAACTGGAGGATGACACAGGTGCATAGGTATGCCTGGCACTATACCAATAGCTTGCAGAATTTAGAGCGTCCTTAAAGCTTTGGCCTTTGTGCTGGGGCCTGAACAACGAAGAAGTAAGATGCTCCCTCACCATTCTCACCATTCTGTTGAGGCAACATCAGAGAATCAATGAAGTGAAAATCTCAGAACAGACATGAGGAAACAGCTTATTGAATCATAAAATCTGAAAACAGTGGAATCTGGTAAGCACCTCACTCTAGTCTTGAAGCAATTGGTAGTAATGTATTAAAAGTTTCCAAGTCTTGCCACAGTAGGAAATATGATATACTAAGGCACTCTGTTCCCACTGCTGAGGAATCATATAGAGAACAAAAAGACTGACTTTGCTGGGGTGAAGGCAGGGTGCAGACTCCCAAATTCTGGGTTTGTTCTCAGTTACCAGAGGGAAGAGAGAGCTGACCCTTGGCTCTTTATTATGTAGTGGTCTTTACCATATAACAGATAGCTACCAAAGTTGGGCTGAAGCAGTTGAAGGGAAGATATCGGTCTTCCTAATGAAAAAAAAAAATAAATTTTTTTTTTCAGTTTTCTCCTTGGAGGAAAACATCAGACCCAGTTCATTCAATGAAAATTTCTTAATGAAAATTAATGGAAATTAAACCAACACAGTTATGCTAGCTATTTGGTTTTAATGTAAGGGATAAACTGAGATAATAGTGTATTTAAATAGATTACTTATTGGTTATAAATAAACCAGTGATTTAAAAACAGGGAACTAGTAACTGCTTGATCCTAAAAGCTACTGCTCTAGCATAAGATAGAGGATTCTTACTGGAACAAATGGAGTGGAAAGGAAGGTCATCGAAGGAAATGGAACTAAATGATAAAATCAAACATGATATCTTACATGGGAGGCTTCCTGACTAGTGTTTTTCTATGTTTTTTTTTCTGATATGTGTCTATCCTATAATCTGTGTACTTGTCTGTAATTCATCTTCAGTGAAAATGAGATTGAATGCATCTCTTTACGAAAGATCAAAATTCTGAGAATTAGCTCACAGCTTAAAAACCTGTCTGTTATGTGAAAAATCTACAAATTCGAGAAACCTCTGTCAACATCAGAAGAAAAACTTGTCTTTGCATAAGTAAACCAATACAAATGTAACCCTTCATGATTATGACATCACCAGGTGTTAGATCCACACATTTTTCAAAATGTCTTGAGCATTTCATCATTATATTTCTAAAAACAGATGAGTTGAAACCAAAGCCACAGTTAATGGCAATTGTAAGAACACACACAAAAAATAGTGATCATATTGTAATTTTTGCACTAGAACACCCACAGTAAAACAGAATGATGAAGATTCCTGGCTAAGTAAAGAATACTGAGCATGCTGCCCATAATAATGATTTACTTTATACGGTAACAATTTATGAGTCTTGAAAAATAGGAGATTGAATTTACGCAGCATAAGAGAGCAAAACCCATAAGAAATTGTATTTGAGTACACTAAGTAAAAATTAAGAAAACATAAGTTCAACTGGTTACAAAGTAAGGATAACTAAATCTAAAAAATGGTACCTATGTGTTCTTCATGATAATGAATGGCCACTTTGACACTTAATCCTGTAATACTTTTAATCATCATGTACAATTACACTGCATTCCTTCCTTCAGCATCTAGTGTCAAAATACACTACAAAGCTGGTTCAGATACAGGAAAAAAAACCGAACAAAACCCAACCCAACAACCCAACAAATCACTCTTGAAGAAAAGAGCAATTAAAAAAGTCAGGTTAGTACTTACCACAGTGACATTGAAAGCATAGAGAAGATCAAAAGGAAGTGCAGCAATTAAATCAATAATAAACCAGGTAGTCACGTAGTGGATACAAATAGATCTTGCTTCAAATATAACTTGGCCAGACTTGCTGACATATGTTGTTCGGAAATTTAAAATAATATCTGCTTGACAAAGAATAACAGAATCAGAGACAGTGATTTCTTGACTCCTGGGGATACCACCAGGAATCCATCATAACACTGACTGTTTTTCTTATGCATGGCAAAAAAACAGATGAAGAATCTAATACATAAACAAATAAAATATAGTGGTAAGAGATTCATGTATGTAGAGTTAAACCAACTGATGTATAAAGTTGTTCTTTGCAAGAAGTAAAAAGAATATTTAAATGTTTAAAACTCACTGATTTCAAAGGAAGCTTGAATTAACAAAACTCCCACCCATATCACTCTTTAAATTACCAAATATTGGTAGTTTTCTTAATGAAAAACGAGGATATGATTGATGTGCATAAAACTTATTTATGCTTCTTTTAAGATTAAAATAAATTAACTTATTTTAAAGATATAATCAAAACTTTCTTTTAGTAATAACTGCCCGGCACAGAGAACAAATGTCATCCTCAAGGATAACCATTTTTTTATGAACAGAAAAGTGCTGAACTCACTTGGAAAAAAAGCTTTTGGGCTACGCTGGAAATCGCAAATGTGATATGAATTGCTTGGTGGCTTGTGCATTTTGTATGTTCCTATCTAACATTCCAGGATGAGTGTCTTTCAACATAAGATATGCTTTTGACATGTCTTGCTAAAACTCATTAACACTCAAAGACAAGCTCAGGTCTTGACAAGAGAGTCTCAATTTTTTTCATGTCCTACAAGACAAAGAGTATAATCTGTCCTCGAGCTATGCACCCAGTTTCTATTAACCTTAGTAAGAACTACTTGTTCAACTTTTACAATGTCAGAATAGAGTGCAGTCAACCATTAAAGCTGTGTTTTACAGCAAGATAATTAGCCTGCTGCCTTGCAACTTGTAATGCCTTATGTTGAAGACCAACTCATAAAAGCTGAAGAAGTGATCCCAACTGTTAGGAAGACATTCAGAGTGTGATTGACTTTTATCTCATTAAAAAATAAGAACTGCAGTGTGATGGTCTTAGTAACGTGAGTGACAATGGGCTTTGTTTAATATCCAGGTTATGAGAGGCAGTTTTTTAGGTGCTGGTCCAGCATATAACAGACACGTGAACTGTATTATTTGTGATTTATGTAGTCTATTATTAAGTGTTACAAGGAGGGAACTGCATTCCCTGTGCCTCTGTCTATGGCAGCAATGGCTGCACTGCCTCCTTTCTTCCTGCCACACGAGGCACAAGAAGATCCACCTTCAGCTGCCCGTTCTACTCATTGCTCTTGTTGGGAGGTGGCAGTAGCAGCTGCTGGGGACTGGCTCCTCACAACAAACAGTAAAGAGCGTGTAGATGTTTGGGAAATGTTTGCTGCCCAAGCAGATGTCTACTGCAGCCTCTGGGGAAGGGGAGGCAGAAGAGCCAAATGGAAGAACCTAAAAGTGAAATTCTTGCCCAACAGCAGGGGGAAGGTATAGGAAGCTAATGTTTGCCTTGTGAATGAAAACAAACACAGAATAAAAGTATTTCATAGTTTCAGTCTATTCAAGGGATTTGTTTTCTCTTTGGATGCAGATATTGCAGATATTTCTTTTCCTCACAGCTAGTTTCTTGTGTGCTAGGTAAACATACTCCAATTAGCACATTCCTGGAAAAAAAAGAAAGCTATGAAGTTTTAAAAACTAAGCGTACCTCAGGTTTCGTCTCTTTGTGATTAAAACATAATGAACACTAATAGTAATAATAAACATAATAAACACTAACAGTATTCATTTTGTAATTTGGTTTTAATGCAAATCAAGTTAGAGCTAAAAAGTGGGTGGTAGCAGGATTACTGGTAGGAGTAGTAGATTCAGCTGCTCTTAGGTTTGTAGGCAGTTCCTAATGGTTTCTAAAAATTAAAAACTACCTTACATGGGAGTAGGTGTTCTGTGGCAGTCTGGAGTAAATTAGTGCTGCAACCTATTTTAATGGAGGGGAAAAAAGCTATTTTTGAACTAAAAATCAGTAACTGTTTGGATCTGGAAAATGTGATTTTATTATACATTGACATTGTGAAAATATGATATAATTATGATGTGCACTTGGAAGTGTAAAAGAAGCTTTACTGAAGACCCCAATTTCTTTATCAACACATATGTTTGGAACAAATTTTAAGCATGAATTTATGTTCAGGACATTAAGGAAAATCAGTAAGCATTCCTAGTCAAAATGAACCTGAAACAAATAAACTTAAAAAATTGTTAGATACAAAATAACCAAAAAATGTAACCAAAATTCAGAAAAGATCAGTAACTGCTCAAAATTAGAAATTTGAAAGAGAGAACAAAATGTAAATGACTAACAAAACTGAAGATGTGTAGAATATTAGAGTCTACTTGTCTCTTATTTTCTAAAAACAAGAAACGTAATTCATTTGAAATGAATTAGGAAAATTTATCACTCTGATGCCTGCAGATGTCACAGAAACTTATATCAAAAGAGGCATTAGACATTTCGAGGAGATTTTTGAAGACAAAATTCCACCTAATATTCTAAGTGGAATTTACTGAGAACCACTTTCTGAGTCACTACTATTAGCTCTTAATAAAATCTCAGAAAATTAGAGAAATGCAAAGGAAATGGAATTCGCCACAGTAATTTTAATAACGTGTGTGTGTACCTCTGAAAGTGATGATCCAGTAAACAATGGATTTGCTAATCACAGGGAAAGCAGATCATTCTGGCATGGATGTTAAATGTGTAGTAATAACAATACACATGAAAATACAAATAATGCCAGAAGTTCACTGGGGGTATGAAGCAAACCCATTGCCTTTCAGTAAGGAAATTACGTCTTTTTGACACACCAACCAGCTGATTGCTGCAGAATACTTAGATATGCTCAAGTTATTTCATCCTGTATCACTGCATTTTGAAGGTTTGCATTAACCAGAATATGAGACACATAAAAGCTGAAGCCAGCTTCCTGCTCAGTTTCAAAATGTTGCTACTATGGGCTTGTTTATAAACAAAACTGTTTCTAGAGGATTCATTTTGGCTGATTAAGTCCATAGTGATACAGTAGTTTTTCATAAAGAAGTTGGATAACTGCCACCAATCCAATCGATCAAACGTTTCCACATGATAGGCAAAAGCTATCTAAGACCCAAGAAAGATTCTGGCTTGATAAACAACAACAAAAGAGATTTCTACTAGCTAGGAGTGTCAGCATGGGCTTAGTACAAAGCTGTTACAAACCCAAGAATATCAGTTGTGAACAGAAAGCAGTGTAACAACTACAGCCTTAAAACTCTAGCAAAGAGATCTCAAGACAAAAGACAAAAAAATTAGAAAATAATGCCTGGACTTTAATTTACTTGATGTAATAAATTCAACTTTCTTGGTTTACACAGCTCCAGAATACTAAAAAGAGAGCTGACTTTTACTTGTTTTCATTCACTGATAGGCTTCTTAGACAAAATAGGCAATACTGGGCAGACATTGACTTCAGGTAAAGTCATTTTGGAAATCAAATGTGGCTTAGTGAATGAGGTGATGACCTTACATCATTCGGATTTACACTGAACATTCTTATACTGTATAACACAATGTCATACTAAAGATATCTAAGCACACAACACATACGTGGACTCATGTAACTTTTGTACATGAGGTGTATATATATCCGTAGATGTGCCAGGGAGGAGAAAGGCAGATTTGATTGTCATGACTATCCTTTGCAACATTGAATTACTCTGTTTTCCCCTTTGCTTTGTAGCTTTGAAGGGAGAAGAGATTGATTTGCATTTCTTTCTACATGTTTCTTAGGCAGGTTACACTAGGACTAGGTAGAGTAAGACCTGATCTCCAAGTCACTTAGCCATTACGTGCAAGGAGCCAGGAAGCATTTTTTTCCCCCATAGATGCAGTACCAAGGGCAAAAGAGAAGAGACTCAACACAGAGAGAGAATCATGTTGGATCATTTCTTTGAGGTATTAGAAAAGATCTTTGGGATGTCTTTTGATCAAATGCCCAGTTCTAATGCCAGATCTGGGTCTGGGAAAGAATTACTTCCCAGGTTTCTCTGGTAGAAAGGTTTTACGCTGTTTTCTGCAGTTTGAATTTAGACAGTCTGCTGTCTATTTCCTTTGACATGTACTAGTTAACCCATACACTGAAAGTAGTGGATCCATGGTATTTCTGACAGTTTGATCTCTGCCATTCCCTCTCTTTCACCCACTAGAGTCTCCTAAATAAAGGAAATCTTTGGGCAAATTCTCATTGTTTTGGTAAATTTGTCAGGATTTAGTGCAAAGCCTTAACACAAAGTGACCTAGACACATATCTGAGGCTATCTGTTTCCACTGACTGAGGTCATGTACATTATATTTGGTTCATGCTTTAAGAACTACTGTTTTGATTCCACAAAATCCTCAAGCTGAAGAGTAGGTAGAAGTAAAATCAGAGATATAAAAATTTTAGATTAGATCACCAAGTGTTCTCAGATGGCCCTGCATTCTTAAAGCTACAAAATGTTCTGCAATTCTCAACAATACAATTAAGATGTGAAATTAGCATGATTTGCTATGGTTCATAATGAGCAAGGGGGTCAGTTCAACTCCACAGGTGCTTAGTAGAGTTAGTTGGTTACTATTTGCTTTTACAGATCAGTGTGGTAGCACCAGCCACATACATAACTACTTCATCAGATTTGCCTGCTGCAGGTAAGAAGGAAATGAAGGAAAGATAAGGATATTTACATCAGTAGTATTTTGAAAATTCTCATTCTCATTTATCTCAGAAACCTCCAGTGTGTAGTTATCAAAGGTAGAAAAAGGATTTGCTTACTTATTGCACATTAGCATTTGCGAAACAACTGGAGCTGCATCAGAAAAGGAGATAAATAACTTCTTTTAAATTCCCCTAAGACATCCAGTACACCAGAGGCTTATCGAAGCGCACATGGAATTCACTGTTTAAGACTGAAGTGATTAGAGGTTTTTCTGCACAACACCTCTTTCTGTCTTCTTATCAAAGCAGTTTAGGAC